CAAATAGTATTTTAGGAAAGAATAAATTAGGAAATTTTTAATCTGTACATATTTGAACAATTAGGAACAATACCATAAATCAAGGGATCCTAGAATAAAATAGAGTTATTATATTTCTAAAAATAGCTTAGGTCTCCTGTATATATCTTGTATGATCTCTTTGTATTAAAATAAATAAAAGAAGATTTCATTTAATCTAATTTTCCAGAATTTCATTGAAGGTCTCCCTAAGGCCCAAGGTAAGGACAGCATTCTGGTAGTAGTGGATAGATTCACCAAATATGCTCATTTTTTGGCCTTATGTCATCCATATACTACAAAGGATGTAGCTGAAGTCTTCCTCAAGGAGATAGTTAGATTACATGGTTTTCCTACCACCATTGTATCTGACCAAGATAAAAATTTTCTGAGTCATTTTTGGACTGAACTTTTTCGATTAGCAGGAACAAAACTGAAATTCAGTTCAGCGTATCACCCACAGTCAGATGGTCAAACAGAAGCTGTGAATAAATGTTTGGAGAATTATTTGAGATGTGCTGGGAGTAAACCTAAGCAATGGCCGAAGTGGTTAAGCTGGGCAGAATTTTGGTTTAACACCAATTATAATGCTTCTACTCGTCTCACTCCATTCAGGGCCTTATATGGACGCGACCCACCACTTCTGTTGAAAGGGACAACCATTCCCACAGCAATAGAAGAAGTCAACAAAATGACACAAGAGAGAGATACAATTCTACATGATATGAAGAATAATCTAGTGAAGGCACAAGATCAGATGAGAAAATATTCAAATAAACATAGAAGGGATGTCCAATTTGAGATCAGTGATTGGGTTTATCTCAAGTTACAGCCTTATAGGCTTTGATCCCTAGCCAAGAAGATGAATGAGAAGCTGCGACCAAGGTTTTATGAACCATATGAAGTGATTAAGGTGGTGGGACAGGTAGCTTACCAATTACAACTACCTAATGACACTAAGTTACATCCTGTTTTTCATGTCTCTCTTCTCAAGCAAGTCATTGGCCCAACTACTTCTCCACAACCTTTACCTCCTATGTTATCAGAAGAATGGGAATTACAAGTTGAACCCTTGGAAGTATTAGAAGCTCACAACAGTTCTTCTGGCACTAGTGAAGTTTTGATCAAATGGAAGGATCTTCCTGACTTCGAAGCCACTTGGGAACCATTTGAAATCATCCAGACACAGTTTCCACAATTTCCCCTTGAGGACAAGGTGAAACTTTTGGGGGGGAGTATTGTTAGGATCAGACCTCCAATAAAGAAGAGGTATGTTAGGCGCAATAAAGGAATAAGCCAGGCACAATAACTGAAAAACTAATTCAGTTATGATGAGTTGTTGGGATGTTTTAAATAGAGGAGAATGGGAGAGGGAAATGGAGGAAAAAAGATATTAAGAACTGGTTGGGAGAGGTTAGGCTCTCAAATCCCTAATAAATCTGTAAATTCTCTTGTTTTCTATTCAATACAATTCCCATTTGATTCAGTTCTTACACAAATGCTATAAGTGCCATCAATTAAGGCACTTCAAGTACGAATGTCCTAAATGGGAGAAGGAGGAAGCTCATTACATGGAGCTGAATGAAGAGGAGGAGCTATTGTTGATGGCGAATTTGACAAAAAACAAGGCAAAGCAGGAGGATGTTTGGTTCCTAGATAGTGGTTGTAGCAACCACATGACCAGCAACAAAAAATGGTTTGACAAGATAGACGACAAAGGATTTACACACTCAGTAAAGTTAGGTAATGATACAAGCATGACAATACATGGCAAAGGAACAATTAAATTGCAAGTGCAAGGAAGAACACAGGTAATTAGTAGCGTGCTCTATATTCCAGAGTTACGCACTAATTTACTAAGTGGCGGTCAATTACAAGAGAAAGGTGTAGCTATTGTCATTCAGAATGGAGAATGTCACATTTATCACCAAGAAAAGGGTCTTATTATATACACTCCTATGATAACAAACAGGATGTTTTATGTCGTAGCTTCTACTGTTGTAGTGTCAAATTGTTTGCAAGTAAACTCACAAGAACTTGCTTCTTTATGGCATCAGAGGTATGGACACTTGAGTTACAAGGGGTTGCAAACATTATAACACGAGAAGATGGTCCAAGGATTGCCTCAATTCCATTCTCCTGTAGAAATTTGCACTAATTGTCTAGTGGATAAACAAACCAGAGAATCAATGTCAAAAAGAAGTAGTTGGCGAGCTTCCCATCAACTTGAGTTGTTGATACATGCGGACTTGTGTGGTCCAATTTCACCCATTTCCAACACGGGAAAAAGGTACTTTCTCAGTTTCATCGATGATTTTAGCCGCAAAATGTGGCTTTATTTCTTAAAAGATAAATCAGAAACCCTTGCAACTTTTAAGTGTTTCAAGAAACTGGTGGAGAATGAAATTAAGTTATCGATATATTGTCTACAAACTGATCGGGGTAGAGAATTCACTTCACATGAGTTCAATGAGTTTTGCAGGATGGAAGGAATTAAAAGGCAATTTACTGCGGCATATACACCCCAGCAAAATGGGGTTGCGGAACGTCAAAACAGAACAATTATGAACATGGTGAGAAGCATACTTTCAGATAAAGGCATTCCGAAGAATTTTTTGCCAGAAGCAACTAACTAGTCCCGATATGTATTGAATAGAAGCCCAACCATTGTCGTTCACAGAGTCACATCAGAAGAGAAGTGGAGTAGCCTTAAGCCAACAGTTGATCACTTCAAAATTTTTGGTTGCATCGGATACGTCCATGTTTCGGATGCCAAGAGAATAAAACTTGATGCTAAAAGTCAGAAGTGTGTATTCTTTGGTGTAAGAGAAGAATCGAAGGCCTATCAAATGTACAATCCCATCACCAAAAGGATTATAATCAGCCGAAACGTAATTTTTGACGAAGAAGCCAGTTGGGGTTGGGAAAGTGGTGTCGATAACATTAAACCTGATGTGCTTGGTCAGGAGGAAGAAGTGACGATTTTTCGGAATCAGAAGATGAAGTAAGAAACATGGCAGTGTTTATGAATAATGAAGATCCAGTCGACTTTGATTAAGTTGTAAGGCATTCTAAGTGGAGAAGTGTAATGAAAGTAGAGATTGATGCAATAGAAAGAAACCAAACATGGGAGCGCACAAACTTACCTACAGGAATGAAGAATATCGGAGTCAAATGGGTTTTCAAAACAGAACTGAATGAGAAAGGTGAGGTAGACAAGTGCAAAGCTCGGTTGGTAGCTAAAGGGTATGCACAACAGTTTGGTGTTGATTACAATGAAGTTTATGCACCGGTGGCAAAATGGGACACCATTCGAAGCATCCTTGCACTCCCAGCTCAAAAGAATTGGCCCATATACCAACTTGATGTGAAGAGCGCATTCTTACATGGAGAATTAAATGATATCGTATATGTAAAGCAACCACCTGGTTTTGTGAAAAAAAGAGAGGAGGAGAAAGTCTATAAACTCAAGAAAGCACTTTACGGGCTTAAACAAGCTCCAAGGGCATGGTATAGCAAAATTGAAGGCTATTTTCTCAAAGAAGGTTTTGAAAAGTGTGATTTTGGACATGCTCTGTTTCTGAAAACTGAAGAAGGAGGTAAGTTGTTGATTCTTAGTTTATAGGTGGATGATCTTATTTTCACTTTGTGAGAAGATGATGATTCATTTTAAAGAGTCAATGAAATTTGAGTTCGATATGAGTGATCTAGGGAAAATGAAGTATTTCCTAGGGGTAGAAGTGTTGCAATGCAATGTGGGATTTATATTTCTCAAAGGAAGTTTGCTAATGAAGTCCTTGAGAGGTTTGGTATGGGAAACTATAATTTTGTGAATAATCCGATTGTTCCAGGAACAAGGGCCACCAAAGATAGAGATGGAGTGAGGATTGATGCAGCAGAGTACAAGCAAATAGTTGGTTGCTTGATGTATTTAACAGTCACAAGACTTGATTTAATGTTTGCAGTATGCTTAGCAAGCAGGTTTATAGCTGATCTCACAGAGCTCCATATGCAAATTGTGAAGAGAGTCTTGCGATATGTGAAGGGAATAGCAGAGTTTGGATCCTTTACAAACGAAGAGGTGATGCAAAGTTGCTAGCTTACACAGATAGCGATTATGCAGGTGACATAGAGGATCGTAAAAGCACTTCTGGCTATGTCTTTTCTTTGAGTGGTGGTGCTATATCTTGGAGTTCTAAAAAGCATCCAGTGGTCGCATTGTGAAAGACAGAAGCAGAATATATAGCAGCAGCTTCCTATGTTACTCAAGGCATATGGTTGAGACAAATTCTTGACAAACTCAGTCAAACTAAAGACTTAGACATTTCAATATTTTGTGACAATAGTTCAACTATCAAACTCTCTAAAAATCCTGTCTTCCATGGACGTAGCAAGCATATTGAAGTTTGGTTTCATTTCTTACGTGAACTTAGCAATGATGGGAAGGTGAAGTCGATACATTGTAATTCATTTAATCAAGTGGTTGATATAATGACTAAACCACTCAAGTTAGATGCATTCGTGAAACTGAGGGAGCTATTAGGAGTTTGTGAAGTTCCTAGTTTAAACTGATTATACATAATCAGATTTAGGGGAGGATATGTTAGGATTCAGATTTTATTTAGTCAATTCTATCTATTATTTATTGTAAATAAAGTCCTAAATATCAAGTGGTTTTTAGTCTTCCACCTTATTAGGGGTTGTTATAACGTGCCTACTGGTTTTTTCTCCGTGTCAATTGTGTAAGGCTTATATAAGCCCATTCCTCTTAATAAAGCCGATGTACTATTCTTCTGCAATATCTCATAGCTTTAGTTTATCTACCATAAACATTGTGAGCATTGTTTAGTACCCAACAGTTTTGAACTTTTGGTAGAGAATAGCACCATAAATGATATATTACATATGCATTCAAAAGGAACTGTTTTGTTTATTGCCATTTACAGGAAACAAGATTGATGCTACAAAGCTGGATGATGCTATCAATATTTCCACAAGCTACCAATCATAACAGAGGATGCTATTTTCACAAAGTGGTCAGTTTTTGTGTGTGGGAGTAAGAAAAGTACCTGAGCAGGGTATTTGTGCCCAAAAGCGAATGGCTCTATCTCTAGTTTCCCAGTTGAGGTTGCCATATATATACCATAGAGAAGCTTCACATCAGTGTCAAACAGAAATAGGTATATACCAGGATTGATCTTCTGTACATCATCCTTTCTCCCAGCAGGAAGCCCAAAAACTCGGTATAGGTAGCACTCTGGTTTTGTAATTCTGTTACACATGAAAATAAAGCCAGAAAGCTTTTCCTGAACCTCCACACCATCCTCTTCGGCTTCCATTGAGTCATCAACAGGTTATTTCAAGTGATACAATTATTCAAATCAAGAAGGAAAATGAATGCATAGTGGCTGCGTGCTAGCATTGAATCTGTGGTAGAAGCACACCCTGATTAAACCAAAATTTACAAATGTGAAAACTTTGCCTGTGAAAGTACATCAAATTCCAACAAATGTCTTCCTCGTATCTATACTTTTCTACAATTTTTTTCTTTTCTTTTCCTCCCGCTCACATTGAAACATAGCGTAGTTATCTTGAACACAAACCCAAACAGGTACTTTGCCTGTCATCACAATCCTCCAATGATCCTAGACGTAAAAGTGAACCACAGTACGACTATTTGTATGGGTTCTTTAAGTGTCTAATACTAAGAGCCGTTGTAAAATTTATTTAACGTGTAAACTGTAAAAAGACATGCATTGATAAATTGTAAAAACCCCTGATGTGATTCCAAAATTGAACCATTCCCTGAAACTATAAATCTTTGAAATAAACTAAATGCAGGAAACGTTAAGGTTAGGGTATGATGAAGAAAAACGCAAGTACAGTGAAAACCTAACAGCGAAAATGAAAATGGCATTTTTCACAGAAATTATTAAAGGTAGCATTTTGAAGAGAGGGTGATTAGTGATTACTTACATAAAATGAGCATGAGCGAGGAAGTGAGGGTAGGATGGATAGTTAGAAAAGGGTGTCAGAACAGTATCTTACAATTTCGCTTTTCATTTGTGTGGTATAAAAAGAAAAATATTGAAAGGATAATAACTCTTTATTTTATTTTATTTTTATATAATGACTTTTTAAAAGAATAACTCATTTGACTAAAAATAGAAAAATGTAAATATAAAATATATATTTTATCCCTAAAATAACTCTTTATTTTATTTTATTTTATTTTATTTTTATATAATGATCTTTTAAAGAATAACTCATTTGACTAAAAATAGAATAATGTAAATATAAAATATATATTTTATCCCTAAATATTTTAAAATTTGTCCTTGAAATTTTAAAAATCATTTTTATAATATATATTACAAATTTGTCAAAGACTAAAAATAAAAAAAAATATCTATGGAGAGATTCAATATAAAAGAATTTTAGAGACTAAAAATAAAAAATTACAAATTTACATAGATACGAAAATAATAGTATGCGGTTAAGAAAAAAGTAAGACATTTACTTACAATTATCATCTGAATTCGACTATTAATATAGTATCAACTTCTTGTTTTTTCTATTAAAATCATAGAAAAAAATTATTATTCTTATTAATAATGATAGACAAAAAAATAGATATGATATGTATTTTTACGCTCCTTTTTTTCTAAGTTACCTATGTAATAATTTATTTTACTAATATCAATGTCTATATCTAAGTTTTCTTTTTAATAAACTAATATCGGAGTAAAATTATATATGTTTTTATTATTATCAACAAGGATTTTAAAAAAATGTGAACATCGGAAATTATTCTTTGCAATTATTTTAAAATTCAACTGTACTGAGGATATTATTTGTATCTCTATTATTTTAAGTTTGTTATTAATTTAATAATCTTACATATTCTTATTAATATTGTTAAAAATAACTTGTATTAAATATATATATATATATAAGAAAAATACATTAAATAAGTATTTTTTTTAAAATATTTATTATTATATCATAATAAGAATATATACATATTATTTATTACAATTATATTATAGATTAAATTTATCGTCTAGATATAATTTTTTATTTATGATATTAATATAATTATAATAATTAAGTTATATAAACAAGAAAACAATGGTAATTTAATTATATTAAATATCAATTATTCATCAAATTCATTCTGTGTATAATATTAAACAATTATATGTCATTATATTATGTACATTATATTACATATATCTCGTATAAATATTTTTTAGATAATTGACATATGTTTTAAAGGTAGAAATATCATTTGACTACTATAGAAAAAAAAACTACTATTAACGTTAAGATGCACTTTTTTTATTACACCAAGATAAGTCATCAATTATTCTTTCATTAATTTCATATAGGATGATACCTTAATCTATTTAACCATTATTGTCGATGTAACTTGATATCTAATTGAATTCATACATACTAACAAACACGATATCTCCTCAAGTATTCACAACCATACACATTTGAGTCTATTATATATATCACGTTACTAGTTTGACTTAGTTTCATATACACAAATATATCTCAATAGATCATGAGTTACTCTCATAACTCAACTAAACCTCAATAAATATATTTTAATATCAAAAACACAAAACACCATCATATCATCTTATAATTCATCTTATATGGATATTTTTATGTTTTTATCATTTGTTATAAATTGGATTTATTTTTGTAATAATTTTTAGTCATAAATTTTTTTTATAGATATTTTTTCGTTAATTCTTATTTCATTAGATTCTTTATTTTTAGGATTTTAATTTAAATATATAGTGTGAAATTTAGATTTTATAGTTATTTCTTTATAATTTTTTAAAATTCATAGAAAAAATAGTCTAAAATTTCATTTGAATGAAAATTTAATATCAATTATCCCTCCTCTCACTTGAGCAAAAATAACCTCACTTAAACAAAATTTTAACCTATTTAACTCTTACTTGAGGGAAAACTAGATTGACTTAACTTTTGATTAAGCGAAAAAACTCTCATTTAAACGAATTATCACCGCCTTAAGTCATCTCTTCCATCTGTCTTACCATCACTCAAGTGATTTGGGTCTCACTTAAGTGAAAATGGAGCCGACAAACAAGATTTTCCTATTTTCAAGTTTTTTTTTTCATTCTAATACTCAATAATACAACTCACTTATACCACAGATCATGAAATAAAAACATTACATATCATTAAAATAACATAAAGACATTTTTCTACTATCATTTCAATACATCAAAACATATGTATTTTTTATGTAGACATGTTATTATTTAAATAACTAACTCCCCATAATTGAATATTCTTGAATCTTAGCTTTCCAACCCATAATCAACACTCCCCTTCCAAAAACTAAGTAACACCCCATGTAACCAAAATATATCTTAATATTTAAATTTCCCCTTTAAACTTAGAAATAATCAAAACCACAAAATAAAAGAAATTACTAACCTTTCAATATTATATTCAGGTCAAATCTCTTTTTATCATTTCAATTTTTTCTTACCATTTTTAAATCTAAAATTCACGAGAGCTTTATTTTAAAGGGATAAATGTTTATAAAAAAAATTAACTTAATTCTTTATTTATAGAGTTTTTTAAGCAGTTAAATATATTTTTACATTAATAAAATGTGTGTTCCAATAAGTGATTTGTTAGGTTAGATAACATTAGTTAAATTTCTAACATAAAATCACTACAATATGGAATAATATTTTCATATAAAAATAAAATAAATAAATATAAAGATAAAAATGTTTAAACTAATTTTTAATTTTAAAATTTTTTAAAACCAAAATAAATAAATAAATTATATTTTAATTTTTCAAATTTTATTAATGAATATCAATAATTACATTAAATAATTAATTTTCAACATCATAAAATTATTAAAATTTGTCACAAATTTTGATTTTACGACAAATTTGGGTATATCATTCTCTTTTGTAAAAAATCACTTTTTAAACTTATTTTTAAAAAATTAATTTCTAAATTTTTTTAAAAAAATTAGAAAATAATTTCAAACTTTGAATATTTTTATGGTTCTTCCCCCACAAATATGTTACTTCGGCCATTAGTTTTTGTAATATATTGTTTTTATAATTACTTGTGAAAAGGTAAAATTAAAAAATTAATTGGGTTGAATAAAAAAATTAAGTTAGCTATTTTTTATAAAAATTTAGGGGAGCTAAATATTATTTTTCTGTGCGAATAACTTTTATAATTATAATAATAATGGACCATAAAAACACAAATAATACTTCTCAAAATTTTACCCTCGTAAAAAAAGTAGACTACAAAATTCTTCAGCTTAAAGCAAAAAGGTAAAAATGTATACTTCACCTTCAAAGCAAAAAGTAAAATACACCTTGCCACCTTTTCCCAGCCAAAATTTTCCTGATTTTCAGTATTTCTAAGTTATATTTCTGCCATTGCACGTTCAAAGTTACCACTAAACTTCCGACGTAAAAAATTAATATCATCTCCTAAAAAATCCCAAGTGAATAGAACTACATAATCAACACCAACAAAAGTGTGGAGCAGGGTGGTATCAGAGTCACTGGCAAAAGGATCAAGCATAAACCTTGTGCAGTCCAATGTTGAGATCCGATGATATGGAAATGACAAGAGGAATGGACTGAAGCCACATGGCTCTGAAGACTCGTTTCTGATGTGCTCTTATAGATTGAGAAGGCTTGTGAGCTGTATACCTTATATCAAATATGTGAATCACAGGATCCGCAGAACCAGATGTTATGTATAGTCCATCAGGAGACCAAGCCTGATTTATCAGAGCTGATTGAGAATCACTGCTTTCTTGCTTCCATCCAAAAGCATGAAGTTCTGTATTCCTCAATCTAATATCAAATAACCGAAGCTGCCTTTCATGGGTCCTGATAGACAGAAAAATAGTTAATACAAGGAACATCAATAGAAGCAAAAAATCTTGGTTAAAACGGAGTATTATTATGTTTTCATCTTGGTAGGAAGATTCGTTAAATGAATTCAGTGTACAAATATCAATCAAAGCTATTGTCAAATAGCTTATAACGTGAAAGTGTGCATATCCTCACATTCAACCTTAGGTGGATTTATCGTTCCCCAGATAAAAACTGAGATGCACCTGGAAAACTATGGGCTAATTCATCTTATCTTATCTTTTATCCTTGTTGACAAAGCAGAAGGCAGGCCTATATTTGCTGGTGCAAAAAAGTTTACTTCATCCTAATATTTCAAGCATATTTCATGAATAGAAGCAAGTACACAACCACTATCCACAAAAACTTCATCGCTATTATGTAACAATATATCTGTGCCTTTCATAAACATTTCATTAAGAGATATAAAAAGGCAGGCACAAAATCATAGAATGGTAGTTGTGCACCACATTCTGTGGTGTGGAAGTTTCAGCTTGGGAAAAGCAAACCTCAATTCTTCTTAATCTTATTTCCGTAAAGTGTGCACTCACAACATAATCAATGAGAATAGTTTTGAACTTTATCAAAAAAAGTAATAATGCAAGCAATTTCATCTGGGGTTCAGACTTTCAGCCCACATCTTATATTTCTGTTTTCAAATGAACATAACTTTCCCTAAAACCAAATATTCAGACTCAAGACAGACAAAACATATAAACTCTGCAAAATGCCGCTAAGCTACTGGTGGAAACTAAAGAAAACAGTCAACAAAGCGGACTTCAAGCAACATTAACTTACCCTGTTTGAACCATGAATAAATTGAAGTCGCTTGGATTCGGCAGGACACTCATGCATTTACTATCAACCTGATGCTTGAAATCTGCTCTTCCCACTCGAACATCATATCCAAATATTCTCCTATCTGCACCAACAGATAACACCATCTGTTTCTGCTGCATACCAGCAACCCCCATGACAGCAGATGAGTGAAGATTCCTGTGCAACACCTTTGGTTTCCACTTCTCACCCTCCTGCTCACTCCAAAGTGCAACAGCATGGTCACTTCCACCAGTTACAAAACACGTATTTTCCCATGGCATGAAAACAATGCCATTAATGATTCCCTTAACATGAGGCTTGTCCTCTAAGAAATTTACCCGCTCTCCCTGCCAGTAACATTAGTTTGGCATGTATCAATAGCAGTAAAAAATAAGAGAAACCCAAACACAGTTTTACTTTTATGCCAGCATATTCGTGTAAAAAAAACCTTACCCCTTGTTGTCCTTTATTCAGATTTGTAACTGACACTTGAGAGTCACCACTATCAGCACTGTATACTGCAAATAGGCTGTTTCCTTCTGGGTGCCAAGCTAAATCTTCTGGCCATCTCCTTTGCTTTTGGGATGAACAATCAGTGGTGCTAATACGAGAGGCTCCGGCTCTACAAAATTAAAGATGGGGAGAAAGATAATTTTCATTAGATAACATTACTATATTAAAACATTTTTAAGTTACATCAAAGAAACTGAGGCAGAGACTGCCAATGGTAGAAGAAAGAATCATCAAATGGTCAAGTTTACAGTTAAATGGGAACATAGACAAGAGATAACTGAAGAGAATGATGAAATTTAAGAAATGTTTTTAAGTTTAAAGTCACAAGTTTTCTACTCCAACACTTGATACAATAATAGACTGCAGTAATGGAATGAGCCACCTTAGGGAGCATAGATTCATTTGGTTTAGAAACCAAATAAGTGTTTGGCAAACTCCACCTTTTAAATATTATATTTGGTTTAAGTCTATTTATAATCAACATCAAAAAAATAAAAACTCTCCAAATTACCACTAGAAAGATAAAGTAGGGCATACCCTTTAGCCTGAATTTGCCAGAAGTTGACCATTCCATCCAGAGCACTACATGAATTTTCCCAATAGGTAGCACGTGTCAGATTAGAAGGAATATATCAATGTGGTATCACCAGGAAAATCTCTTACATAATAGAGAAATGCACACTGAAGACAAAACTGACTCAAGTTACACAGTCAATATATTTGCATAATCAGATATGATATCTAACAATTAAACAAGAGTTCTTGTCTTGAACCACTAAAGATCATGTCAGAAAAAGTACAGCCTTTACCAGTGATTTCAATCTTGGATGTCGGTGCATAACAGATGGTTCCAAAACTGCTATAGTGGGATAGCCACTACAACTGTGGAAGATAGAGATTTTGGTGAATTGCTACAGTTTGAAGCACTCAGCAGCTCTCTATTTATAAACAATCAGAATGACTTGCATAGAAACCCTCAGATAATGATAAGCTATGCATAAATCTGCCTCTCCAGTTATCCAAAACATTAATACTCCAGGAATAGGAATAGAAACAGTTTCCAAGAGCAGTAAATACACTACTTTAAATACAAGCAAAGACCCATTTCCAACACTCCCCTAGATAAAAAAAAAGATTCTAATAAAATAAAATAAAATAAAATTAAAAAAGTTGATATCCATGAAAACAATGGTTGGGACTTGGAAATGGTTGCTGAAAAAGACTATTCATGACCATATTCCATGTGATAAACAGAATGGGAGTATACAGAACCAGAGATTTGATCATAACCTGCTTTGGTACCATATGATAGATAAAGATAGAGAGATTTTGGTCAACTGCTACTGCACCACTAAAGTGCCCTATTTAAACCCTTCAATTTAAAAAACAATTTACATTATAATCATTAATAAACTAAACCTTTGTTTAGGGGTGTCCATCGACCGATCCAATCTAATGGAGATGTCTTATATTTTTTTAATACAAGTTTAAAGACCAGTGTCGCATGAACTTGAATCTCAGAACATACAGATGACCATTGAAATCTCTCATCCTCACTTGCAGGGTAGATTTATATGCATTTTAAGTTGACCCACTCCCTAACATCATATTGCAATTTATTATTATAATCATTAATCAAATAAACCTTTCTTTAGGGGTTGTCCATCGACCGATCCAATCTAATGGAGATTTCCTATATTTTTTCAATACAAGTTTAAAGACCAGAGTCACATGAACTTGAATCTCAGAACTTATAGATGACCATTTAAATCTCTCGTCCTCACTTGCAGAGTAGATTTATATGCATTTTAAGTTGACCCACTCCCTAACATCATATTGCAATTTAGCAATTTAGATACCGGTTGATAACATTTGACACCATACATGCTGTGGCCAAAAACTGAGAAAGGAAAAGTGTTACTGATAGGTGAAACATATTGCTAAAAGCACGTGCGTTTAAAAAAAAATGAAATAATTCTATTACCTGGTCACAAAAAGCTGATCATTCACAGGGCACAAAGCAATACTCCGCAATTTCCTCTTGTGTTGACTTGAGATGTGGTTGCTTGTTTGACTGTGTACTAAGCTTGGTGAAGAACTCTTACGTATTAAAGGAATCAATTCCTTGTGTTCTTTTTGTTCTGAAAAGCACAGAAAAATCTTATGAAGCTTAATTACAAGCAAAAGCAGCTTGAAATGAAATGACAGCAATAAGCCAATAACTGTCAATAAACCTAGACAGAAGCACATGACCTTAGATATGCTACATGGATTAGCCAAATCTACATAAAATCAATAATTAAGGCAATCCTAGAAATGAATGACTTACCAAATTTCCTTTTGGTCCCTTTGTCCTTGATTTCAGTTTTTTGCTGCTCAGAAGAAGAAAGTCTATGACTATGAGACTTGTCAGATTTTCCCCTAGAGCTGTCACCTCTGATTGGAGAATTATGTACTCCAGGAGATGCTTCAGAACTGGAACTTATTGAAGCTTTTGAAGAAGACTTTGGCAACAATACAGGTTGTGAAATTTTTGGATTCACTGAAGGAATAAGAAGTTCTGGTTTAGATTGATGTCGATTTTTTATTGAACCTTCATTTCTATCAATTGGACTGTTTGATCTGCCCTCTGTCTTCACAGTTTTTATTCCATCATCTAAGGTATTTCTAGATGACACTGCATTAGTCTGACCTCGAAGGCGAGCCAATTTGGATACAGAATCTTGCAACCTTTTCTCCGCTTCATCAAGCTGCACATATTTCCGAAACATAAAATCAGGCAATAGAAATCCATGCGAAGATTTAGAAAAAAAAAAAAAAGTCTGGTACAGGTTATAAGTTTGAAAAATACAGCAAAAACAAAGGCATAAAAGTTTCTAACAGGAACACCGACAACTAGGAACCAAACACCACATTAAAGCTAGGAGGAACCTCTCAATGAATAACAAAATTCACTAAGGTTCATAACTAGGATTCCATTGCAGATTACAGTGAAAAATAGAACCAAAAAACAATCTCCAAAACAAATTAGGAAAAAAAAAAAGCGCAATGCAATCACATTGAGAAACAAGAATAAGCAACAAAGATTGCATATTTACACAACTCAACTGCTAACAAAGTAAAAGGAAGTCTCTTTGGTAATAAATAAGAAAGAAAAATCAGAATTAACTCACTAATACAATGCCCACACCGAAGTTGTTACTAGAAACAAATTTAAAAGAATAGAGCGAACACCGTATTTTGTGGTGAGAACAGTCGGTAGTTAAACCGCACATAGTAAACCTAAAAATGTCGAACCATATGATTGGAAGAGAAGTGGAAGTATGAGCAGGGAGTGGCGAAACGACGAAAGAGAAAGGCAAAACGACAGGGAAGGGAAATCGAAGGGTTAAGGGAAACCTGGGTTTTGTAATAAGCGATGCGGTGACGGAGGTTTTTGACTTCGTGGGTTCGGTGTTCGATCAAAGCGACCAATGCCTCTTCCTGTTCCTCTCTGCTCGTGCTGCCTCCGTTCTCGTCGTTTGGCTCCATTCCGACATCACCTCGTACTATTGGATAAGTTAAGAATCGGAAGCTACTAACGATTGTATTGTGTTTGGTGTGTTCTCATGGCTCCCTCTGCCGCTGGGTTAGTTTGATTGTAGTTGAGGCTCTACGAAAGGAAACCTCTTTCTTTCTCTATAATGCTTCTATAAATAAATGGCTAAATTATAATTTTTTTATCTTTATCTTAATATTTTTTATATTTTATCTTTTATAAATTAATTTTATTCTGTATCTCTTTTGTTTATATCAGTTAGTGTATTATATTCATGATTTTCAACTGGTAGCCTTATATTTATTAGTTACATGAAGTTAGATTTCAAAACACGGGGTTTATATTTTAAAATAATTATAATTTAAAATTTAATATGATGCTATGTTAAATTAATCTATTTCAAAACACGAGGTTTATATTTTAAAATAATTATAATTTAAAATTTAATATGATGCTATGTTAAATTAATCTAATCTAAGTTTAGTTTGTTTAAAAATAATAAATAATAATAATAATATGTTTATATTAAAATATTTAATCAAAAAAATTTAAAATATATTTTTAAACTTTAAAATTATATTAATAAAATTAGTTTTTATTTAAGATATAAGTATTTAATATATAAATTATAAGAAAATAAATTTATTTAATCTCAAAATAAAAATTAAAAACTTATTTTTTATTATTATCATTTATTTTTTAATAATTTATTAATTTAAAATAATAATTAATTTTAATAATTAAATCTTGAAACAAGTGGTAAAAACTTATTCTTATATTTTATTAAGAGGATAAGTTAATCTTTTATCAAATTAATTTATAATACATATATATTTTTTAATAAAATAATATCAATTTTATTTCTATTTTAAAAATATTTTATTATTCTATAAAGTACGTCATCTTATAAGTTTATGGGTTAGTTTGACTTAAGATCATAGAAATCATAGCTTAAAAAATCAAGATAATATAGACTGATTCAATTTGGGTTACAAATTTTTTTCTAACCTAATTTATTTTTCAGACCTTTTAGATTTTATCGGACTAAACTTATTTTAATACTCTACATCAAACTTATATTTCCAAGAGATTAAAATGACCACAAATATCATTAAAATTAAAATAATTAAATATTAAAAATCTAATATTAAAATTTTTTTTATAGTTCAAAGCAATTAATTTTTTTTCAAATCTACTTCACCTATACAACATCTACTCTTTTATGGGAATAAGACTATTATACTAATCAAGTTAAATAAATAAGAAATACAAAATGAGTTAATGCATTCAAATAATAAGTTCTCTATTGATATATACAACGCTTATTATTTTATACATTATTTCATACACATTATTTTATTTATATTATATTTATTATCCCTAGACATTTTACGAAAGACTAGCACCGTATCATAAATTCAAAAATTAATATACGTGTGTTATATTGAAATTGATACTGCAATAAATCTTCTTTAACTATTAATATCATTCTAGTCTCCTTACATAGAGTAGAACCAGATGACGGATCTTGACCATTGATCTTGGGAGGTCAAATAATATATTATTAATAAATAATAAATAAATATAAAATAATATATTATTAATAAATAATAAATAAATATAAAAGAAAGAAAGAAGATGAAAGGATAAAAGGATAAAATTGGAGTTACAAAATTGAGGAGGGGCTGAGAGGATAGAATTGTAAATATACAAGTAAATATATTAAATGTTTATTAAATTTGGGGGGACCAAAATCATAAATTACATGGAGTTATAAAACTTTGGGGGGGCCACGGCCCCCCTCAGCTCCCAAGAAGATCTGCCACCGAATAGAACTACGTTCATATTGATATACATCTCTCATAATCTCAAGGTGAGTTATTAACAATTTTTTTATTGGTTTCTCACCACTTGAAACCTTAATCTGTGACCAAAGTTATTACCAAAACATAAGGTCTCATTGAATTTGCACATATATCATACTAACACATTTCATTCCTCCCTAGTAATTGTCATTCTAGACCATGTTTCTAACTTGTCTCACACTAACATATACAGTTAATCATAAACAACAACCTCTAACTTGCCTCAATTTTACAACACACATTCACACCAACAAATTTTAAGCATTAACCTCAAGCCCAATTGGTTGAAGTTACTTTATAAGAAGGGACAACTACCTCCTCATTATATGTTGCAATAAGAGAAAACTCACGAGAAGGTGATACATGTGTATCACTGTGAAAGGAATGAATTATGGGGTGTACTCTTGAAACTAAATTAGTTAAATTTTGTGATACATTGAGTTCACTGTTCCCAACTAATGCCTGACTTGAGGTAAAAGCGAATCCAAAATCTACTTTGTTGTTAGGAGAAAGTGGCAACTTGATGCTTAGACTAAAAATGGGATAAAGTAAAAATATAATTAATGACATAATAAAAACTTACTCAAACAGAAACATAAATAGTTATACCTTTGATTTGATTTTTCTTCCGGAGTGGTCTACCACGAGGTTTTTTATTACAATTGACTCATTTATGACTTCAGTCTCTTTCCTCTTCTTGTTAGACACTCTCACAATAGGTGATGAAGTGTTTGTGGGTTCAGGTGGCCATGGCATATTCAGGAATGAGAAGTTTACGGTGTTTGTGGGTCTAAATGGCGATGGTATATTCTGCATAGAGAAAACAATACCAATATACTTGCTTGATACATAAGGAAAAAAAAACAAGTAAAATATAAAAATATAAGAAAAACTTAACACTACTGAATTGATGTATAAACATATAAGAAAGAATTAACCATAGCAAATATGTTAATTCACTAAATAATACTTAGAGCAGTTATATTTCAAGTTTCCATATGAAAAGTCACCGCTGAATTTTTTACCATAGGTGTCGCCGCATTCAATGGCAATCATCTCACATAGTGTACTCGTTTACTATTGTTTTCTGCATTCTTCAACAATATATATTCATCAAAATCTCCTCCAAATTCAACACATTCTGGGACACCAAGAAAGCAAAAATGCACCCGATGAGCGCAAGAAGAAAATGAATATTCATTTGTTAAAATTTGAAAAAGAAAATAAAACAATACAAAAGATGGGAAAACAAAGAGACCAACGGTGGATAAATGATTTTGGGATAATAAATGAATAAAAAAGAAAAATACTTAAAAAATTAAATATATAAACCCCTATATTTAATTTGGGATGACTAAAATTATAAATATACATAAATTATAAATCTTATAAAACTTTGGAGGGATAATAACTTCTCAACTCCCAAAGTTCGATAATGAGACTAACCTCTTTTATCGGTGAACTCGACAAAAAGTGATGAAATTTCACTATGCAAAGTGATGCATGTTTGGAAGAGTTGATTGTGATATTGATTAATGATGAAAAAAAAGTAGAGCTTTGAAGTTATCTATTCTCCAAGTTATTTTATTTGTCACGCTGTGAACTAAGATTTTCTAAAACAAAGATGAAACCAACAAATATGAGAACCAAATATACAAGTGAGAGTGAGAAAATCCATTTAGACTTAAAAAGGGAAAATAAAGTCCAAGATATAAAAATTCCAAATAATTTTCCTCTCTAATTTTTTTAATTTTCATTTTAATAATATTAAATATTATATATTTTTTAATTTAACTTTTTAAAAATGAAATATAATGTCATTTAATTTTTATTAATTTATTTAATTAAAAAATATAGGTTTTTTTAGAGATAATTATATTTTTTTGTTTTTCCTAAATAAAATATTAGAGTATTGTTTTCTTAATAATTTTTATTTTATTATCTTATTATTGTTATTTTAAAAATTAAATAATTATGGTTTGAAATAAAATGACTTTATTAATAATTTTATATTAATTTGAGGAACATGGTTTGTTAACCTTTGTAAATGGCTTGAACTTATAAACATATACGTGATTGATAATTCATATGCTTAATTACAATTTTGATTATGGATTTTGTAAATACGTAATTTTGATGACTTAATTTTTTTAAATCGTTTCCGTTTTTAATTTTCAACATTAAAATTATTCACTATTATGCTTCACCTTTACTAAGTGAGGTGGACTTGAGTATATAGATATTTTGATTTAATAAATTGTAAAAATGAAATGAATCTGATAAATAAAAATATTCAAGGACACTATTAATAGATAATTTTAAATTAAATAATCTAAAATGAAATTAAACAGTCTGATAAATTTAATCAAATGCAATATGTATATCAATTAAACAATATATTTTGAGAATATGATGATTTTAAAAGGAAATTAAATAGAATTTAAAACTTTTTTAAAAACATTTTGGATTTCAAATTTCAAAAAAATATAATTTATACTTAGTCATTTTAATTCAATCTCATTATATAAATATTTTCAACTTCGATATTCTCTAGAAATAATTGTCTAATTAATTTAAGGTAATTTTTATTTTTTAATTTTAATTTTAATTTTAATTTCAATTTTCATTTTTCAAGTAATTAAGTCAAATATACTTAACTAGTCAACATTAGTGATTAATGCTTTTAAAATGAAAAATAAATAAAATTATGAATAATTAAAAAATAAGGGACTAAAATTATAGATTTTGTAAAATGTAAAAATCAAAATTATGATTAAAATTAATTTATATTTTGATGTGAAACATGTCATCTTGAGTATAGTAAAGGTTTAATGATTTTTGTTGAACATTCAAGGACTTGATGTTGCAAATAATGATCATGAAGAATGTTGATTTTGATGATGATCCAAGAGCTTAAAGACTTAGAGTATTGAAGATTGAAGATTGATGTTTTCTCGTATTGTAATAACTCTGTTTTAGTTTGATTGAGTCTGTAATTATAGAGTCTAAGATAGCCGGTACATAGTCCGTAACTTAGAAGCTTCAAAATGCTCAAATTTATCATGCAGGCTCGGCTTTAATCGATTATATAGGGAAATAATCGATTAAAACAAGTGAGAAAACCATTT